GTAGGGAAACTATTGCTTTTATTTACCATCTGTAAAAAGGGCAGAAGGGGAGAAACTTGACCCTAATCATATAACACAATGGTCAAGAAAATTCACAGTATTTTTTACTCCAATTTCGTTGTCCTAAATATGAGCCAGTGGCTTCTTCTGCTGCAGTTATCCCTGCAAGCTGCTCTCTTGCCTTTATTCTTTAGGGAAAAGGCTTTCTTATTGACCAGCTGCTCTAGGCAAAGACATAGCTTCTGTGTGGCCGTGTATACAAAGAGGCCCACTATGCTTTTTTTTTTTTTGCCAGCACAGCTATACGTTTTTCCATTTACCAGAGGATTCTTACCTTGCCTGAAGATATTTTATTCTGGAAAGCATATCAAGATGCCCTGCTGAGTATTGCTCTATCACATCCTTTACATCATAAGGCCTCAAAGTCTCCTTGAATTTTTTTTTATAGAGACGAAACTGTAGTATTCTGCATAATAAACAGAAAAAAATATTAACTTATATAAATTCCAGAATGATAATTTGCAGTTTTACTGAATAATTGACAAATACTTTGGATGTTTGGAAACTGAGCATATTATTTCAAATCAAGGCAATAAAACATAAGCAGAGAATCTCTAATATCATACCACAATTGACTTTTCATAATTAATAGGCTAAAACAAATTATACATACAAAATGTCTTTTTCAGCACTATCATCATAACTAGAAATGGTTCAAAGCTACAAGATCATATGTGGAATTTGATTTTGAACAATCCAAGTCACAGATTTTGAAGCTGTGAAGCTGCAGGTGCTTTTTTATGCTTCAGCCTATTATAAAGTTAATTTATAGTATATATAATGCTTCATCATTTTCAGCTTGGTTTTCATTTTACACTTGGGAAAGTTTTGGATAGGAAATGTTAATCAGACAGAAATGTGGAAGTTAAGAAATCAGCAGCAGTTCAGGTTGTGGAGAAAAGAAAAAGCATTAGGACTGCCTGAAGTGTCCTTGGAAAAACAGCAGTATAACATTATTGTTGTTGTTGTAATAATAACAATATAATTGCTGTTATTATTACTATTATTGTAAAATATCCTAGTGATTAATAAGAAAATTCTTATAATAAGGACCAGTGCTGGCCAGAACACTTGAAAACCATTTGGCATTCTTTTTTTTCATTCTTTTCTGTTTATACATTAGTTTACACACTGTTATATCTCAGTAGATTAAATAGAAAAGAAAAATACGTAAAGAATGAAAAGTATTTTATTTCTTTATCTGTCTTAGTTTTGGGATCCAAGGATTTGCATTCTCAGTAGAGTTTCCATGTACTTAGTGGTCTGAATTGTCATCTGTTAAATTCTGACCTGTTTTTTATTCAAGTTTGGCGATTTTTTTTAACTTTTTAAACATCTGCATATGCTTTCATTTAGCAAAGATAATTCTATTATGAGTTTTTAAGGGTTTTCCACTCTTTTACTCTGTTGCTTATAAATCTTTCAAGATTTCAAAATTATACCTATGCCTATTATAACAAAACTATATATGATTACAGCAAAACTATACTTAAAAAAAGAAAAATAGGAATCACACTGTTAGCAATTTCAATGTAAAATCTCCTTGATCCTGACCCTGAAAACCCATTAAGGGTTTTGTCTGAAAGTGTTACTTCCCATTAGCATTCAGGGTCTGGGTAAACTATATAAGAAAAAAAAAAAAAGAGTCTGACTTATGATTTAGTTTAAAGGGAAATTGCATGAATCAATTAGATTTGCACAGGATGTGGTACAGGAAGTTTTGCAAAAGTAATAATAGCATGTTTCATGGAGGTGGGGCAGGAAAACAGGACAGATGTATAGTTTGTGTTTGAAAGAAAGCAGGTATCAGGAGGAAGTAGGGATGAAGAGGAAGTAGGGATGAAGAGGAAGTAGGGATGAAGAAACTTCCAGTTGGAGGGAAGCAGTTATGGGTAACATGAGAAAAGCCTGTGGGACATGGCTTTCAGCAGGCTTGAGAAAACTTGGAATTTTTAATGACTTGTTCTCCTGCACCCAATCAGGAATGAACCAGGAGAATAGATATTGTGGTTATATACATATAATTATATGCTTATATACTTATAACCACCTTCCTTGAAGTTTTTATAAGAAGATAATTTTGGGGCACTCCAGACTTGCGGTATTTTTCCTGGAAGGTCGTAACTCCCTGGCCCAAAACTTAACAACTTCTGGAATAAAAAGCAATTGCACTGAAAGTAGAATATATTCCTATGGGCACATTTTTTAAGGGAGGAGAATAAAAAATACTGAACGGAGAAGTAACAGATCATAAGTGAATGATTTCTATGTACTTGATGTGCTAAATACATTATTAAGTCTTACTAGGAGTTTTCTAACCCAAGGGAATATCTCTTGTGATATGAAAATAGAAGTGACACATGTCACAAGCTGAAGACTGCTGAAATGGAGACCTCAGCATCTATTAAAATATGACAGCTGAAAACTATATTGCACACTCATACAATAGTGAGCAAAAATAGTTGAGTCAGCTGTTTATTGTTAAGCAAAAAATCCAGTTTTACATAAATACCACAATCACTAAATTGAGCAAGATACTCTATTTATAATATATGTTAATGAGGAACTGTATACAATATTATTTTATAATAAACATATTTATGGAGTATTTTGCAAAAATGGCATGGCCAATGTTACTGAAAAACATTTTCCTTTCTGCATACTTTCAAGGAGGACTTTAAATAGCGTCTGTGTTGTGCTTTTCAATATAATTACCAAATCTATTGCATTTAAAAAAAGTAATAACAGCAGCAATGAATCAACATGTAGCAACATGGTAACGTGATTTCCTGAAGCACAAGCATTCAAAGTCAAAGCAAAGCAATGAGGAGCATCAAAGACATTTACCTGACAGCTCGGATGGCTGTCTTGAATGTGGGGATCATATCTTCCATAAGGAAGTCACTACTGTCGCCTCTCTCTTCTGCCATGGGTTCCCCTGTTCCTGCATCTGCAAAGCAGGTCAAAAAAAGCTGTGTGAACATCTTACCACGCAGTTTAGAGGGAGGACTGGCCAACTAAAGCACTATGTAAAGTAAGTGTAACTTAGTAAAGGAACATCTCTTGCAGGTTCCTCTTTCTCTGGTCAGCTCTTGAAAGTGATTTCATAATTCTGCTGGGACAGCTAGAAGACACATTATTTGAGGGATCTCCTCTCAGATTCCAGCATTTCTGAAACCTGGGAACTTCTTTTGCTCTCCAATGGATTTAGAAGTTCCCACTTTTAGGAGCTTTTACATTGATAATTCTGCCATAATTATTTTCCATAAGGCTCAAACAGGTGTAGAAGCTACAGGCCAAGTTCTTCTCCCACTTGCACTACTTGGAACTCATGTAGCTTCACGGAAAAGGATAAACAAGTTCCCACTGTGGACACTCAGACTACATCCATGGTAGTTGGCCCAGCATGCACTGATGCCAGATGGCACAATACAGGAGAAACTGTTATTTAGAGACCATTTGGACACTACAGACAATAAGAGGAAAATGTGTGCCCAGGGAAACTGAGAGGAAAAATGCCCTATGATGTTTCATTGACACCCAATGGAAATCTGCTACAGGGCAGCAGTCTTAGGGACAGTGGGAGGGAGCAGCCATTGACTTTATAAAACAAGGTTTTAAGAGATTGGAGTGAGGAGATATTTGAGATGCCTGGACACAGGCTAGCACAGGGCTGGATGCAGTCTAGGAGGGAGCTACCTTAGCATAACATCACTGTCCAGTGTGCCCTCTTGTTCCAGGTCAAATAGGTTGATTACGCCACTGGCTATATACTATATTGATTGCTGGTTTTTGGAGGGCAACTGGCTTATTTCAAGCACTGTGTTGCCTGGACTCCAGTGTTCATTTCCTGGAGCTTCCCCAAATGTGCCATGTAAAACCAGGGACCACCCATGCTTGGCCCAGAAAGTCACAAACCTTCAACAGAAGATGCAGAAGAACAAAGTAAAATGGGGAAAATAGGGGATGGATAGAAAGAAATCAACACAGATGGGCTACCTTCTGAGCTTTGCCAAAAAGCGTACGCTTTCATTCGGAATGCAGTGCGAAAACGCTCCTTATTATTCAAGACAACATTCTTAGGCTCTTTTGAAGGACTTTCTTCAATGGCATCTACATTCAGAGGGGTAAATAGCTTTCCTTTAGTATTGGTACCACGAACCCGATCCAAGAGACCCAGCTTTTGGCTACAAAATAAGCAAAAGTAATCATTTTCCTCCTTCGTACACTTTTAACTTGTTTTCATGATGCTTTCATTATATAATGGGCTAAATAAATGTTTTGTACACAAGGACACTGCTGGGGCTACCGTAATACATCAATGTCTTTGTAAGCAACAGCTAAGCTCCACAGACAATTAACCGCTTTTTATGAGCATTTTTCGTGTCAATGTTGAAAATGTTACCAGAGGGTCTTGCTATCCTCTCTATGTAATGTATCACAGTGCTTCAGCTCCGTTAGCATGTCTGAAGCATTAGACTTATTACTAAGAAGAGAAACATCGCTACTTATGCAGTTATATTGTCTGATAAAGATGCTTGGCCTTTCCTGTTCAGGGCTTTATTTAACTACAAGGTCTGTGGCAGGCTATTAAATGAATAACTCATGTGCATAGCCAGGACTAAAAGAAAGTCAGATGTGCTGTGAACCAAATAAATTATCAGTAAAACGCTGGAAAGGCATTGCCAAGCAATACTAGGTACCTGATAGGGCAGACTGCCCAGTTTTCTCTGTCGTTTACTTTCAGTCATCTCAAACTATACTAGAAATTGAGGTGACCTATACGAATTGTAGTAAAGTGACATATTTTGTTCCTCTTATGATTCCTTGCACTGTCCTCTTACAGATTTACTGACCAAAGACATTTTTCCTTCAGTGACAACTGATAGCTAGAATCACGTCTGCTTGCCATCTTACTAGCATCCCTTCTGACCAGTAACCCTTCTGACAGCCTCATGACTGTAAAGGCCTTAAAGGCCACTGAAAAGACCAACACAAAAAGAGTTCTGCTAGTGATGGTATCAGCTTAAATATGCTCTGAACACTTCATAGGTGAAAGATGGTATAATTATTTGATTTGCGTGTTCAATTTGCTGCCTAAGTATTTGTCAGTTGCACATTTGTTAAGAAAGTGTGGGGCTAAGCCATGGGAAGAAAGCCTGCCTTTTAACCCACCCCTGTATGTTGCAGTATGGAACAGGTCTGGGGAGAGGTGAACTGTGCACACACCGTCAAGAGGCACTTTGGTGCAGGAGAGAAGGGCAGGCAGGTTAAGCTGGGGGGAGAGAAGAAGCAACTGCAGCTGTCAGCTCTCTGAGAGCCACGGATGGGAGCACAGAGGAAGGATGAACAGCAGTGGTGACCAGAAGAAAGACATTTCATAGGTAGGCAAAGAGATAGCAGTGCAGTATGCTCAGCTAAAGCCACTAAACTTGCTGGCAGGAGAGGCAAGCGTGGGGAGGCTCCACCATGCAAGCACACAGCTCTCCAACGATGGAGACTTGTGTGCAGGCCTTGCAAGTGAAGGGTCTCACTCACAGAACTACTTATTTAAGGAGTTATTTTTCTCAGATGGATTTTTTTTTTATGAGTTCTAGCATCTCTGGTGTCATTGGTGCACCTCTTTGAAAGAAGAATCTACTTCCAACTCAGAGCTCTCTCTGTGGCAGTATCCCTCCACAATGGAAGTTCTCAGGACATTCCTCTTAAAATTATAAAGGTGAGATGGATTTAAAGACACATGTAATGACTTTGCAGCTTTTATAAGAGTGCTGACTCTAGTAGGAATACTAAGGTTTACAGCATACAAAATTCCTACACGATATGAGCATTGAACATCACAGCTGTTGCAGGTTTTTGTGTGAGGTTTTTGGTTTATTTTTTTAATATGAATTACTGGGGCTCTCATCTCTGCTGCTTCTGATTAATATATCTTTGACCCAGATGGTAATGAAATATGGGCTTCCCTGTCACAAAAGATGGAAGAACTAAACCTTTGTGGAGGATGCTTTTTCAGGCTTTCTCAATTTTTTTGTTGACAACATGACAATACTTGTGAATGAAATTTCTGCAGCCTCGTAAATTCAGATACTGGCCCTGTCATTGCTTGTATAAATTATACATGTGTGTGCAAGCATGGAAGTGGCAACTAGAAGGATTTGTGTGAGTGTGGAGACACACAGCTAGTCCTGCTGTATCAGCATCACCACGACTGAAGTCAATGATGTGAAAAGATAAAAGCATGGAATTGAGTGAAGAATTAGAACAGTCTAAGTGAATGGTATTAATATTACCCAGACTTTGCCCTAATGTAATTTCCTGAGGAATTCATGGCACGGGGGAAAGACAAACAAAGTGCAGAAAAATGTGCAGAGCAAAAATCGGGGATAAATTCCTTCTTTGTGGAAAAATATGAGATGTTACTTGACGACATCTGTGGCAAATTAGTCATCACAGAATGTGTAGGGCAGTCTCATGTTCTGTCTTAAGCACTTGTTTAAAAAGTGGTTTTCATAGTGCTTGCTTTTGGGTTAGAATTTTGATCCAACTGATCCACCAACGTGCTCTAAAGGTTAAACCAATGGTGAGTGCAGGGTCCCAAGTGGTTTGTGCTCTACTAAGATAGGGAGAATCCTGTGACCTCTTTTCTGCATCACTGTCACTTCTCTATTCTTTCAGAGACCATGTTTGAGAGCAGTACTGCTTTACAGGACAGATGTCTTAATTCCATGGCATTTCTGTGAAATTTGAATTCTTCAAGCATTCAGCTACCATATATAGGAAAAATATATACAGCAGATGACAGGTAATGAGCAAGTTTTGAAAGGGCATGAAAAATAAAGGTGAGGAAGTAAAAATCAACTGAATTAGTTGTGTGTGTTTTTTGGGGGTGTAAAGAAGGGAAAAAGAAATTCTCATGTCTCAATAGCAACAAAACCAAAGTTTGAAGGAAGAATTAATTTCAAGAAGGGTTGTCAAGAAGAGTCTGGAATCATGGCACATCACTGAAGAGGATTTTAATGTAAAGTAATGCACCAAAAATATAGCCGAATGATAACAATCAGTCAGACAGGCAATATAAACTGATGGGCCTGAAGGTGTTAGAGGGAGTGTGCTTGTGAGGTCTTCAATGTGAAAAAAAAAACAAACCAGAGCAATTAAACATGCTTGGCAACGAGGTGATCTTTGTAGACTGAAGGAAACTGTGAAATAAGGTACAAGAAGGAAGAAACTGAAGCAGTTTTAGTAGATCTATTCAGTGATAATAAAATGAAGACATTTTTCCCTAGGTCTGAAAAAATTGTATGTACAACAGGCTTGTTGTGGAGATCAGCTTTTCCTGGTGGGGGGACTAATAGGTCACCAACAACAGATGAATCTCAAATGAACAAGGAGACTATAGTCCACCTATTCTTCAGGATTTCAAGACTGATCATCTTGTTTCAAGACCTTGCAGGATGAGAAGGAAGCTCTTGGAAGGATGAACTCTAGCAGTGAAACTCAGATGATTTTGGATGATGAGGTGATTTCCTCAAAGGCAAGAAGTGGTCACATACTACACACTGGCTTTGAGCAACATATTAAATGTCACAAGATTTGGTTTAATAACACTAGAGAGAAGTTCTCAAGAGAAGAATATGTTTAAGGCAGAGAACCTGAAAGACAAAGAAGCAGGGACATAGGTGAGACAGAGGATTCCTATTGTTTACAAATAGCAGTTTAATGCTATATTAGAAAAATAAAGTTGTCATTACATGTGGCCTCTGATTCTCTCTCCAGAAACTTGTTTGATCCTTCAAAATACATATCCAGATGTCTCAAAGTCTGCTCCTTAAAAGTCCTATAACAACCTCCTTCCTTACCTTGCATTGCAAGGAACTATAGGGATCAGACCAGCAGGAAAAGGGTCAGTGGATGATGGAAAGTATCCAAAACACTAATCTTGCAGATATTTTTTCAATATAGGATGGAAATATAGGCAATGTATGCAGAAATCTCTGTCATGGAGCTATACAATAATAGGAGTGATCAAGATTTGATATCCTCCTCAGAACAAAACAGATCAAAATATTCCTCTGCATTCAGTACAAAAGGCTACTTATTTGCAGTGATGTTTTCAACTGCACATGTAAGTACACTCATTTGTGGGGTAGGGTTTTTTTTGGTGTGGTGGAGGCTTAAGATAATGTAAACCAAAAGCATTCCCAAATTCTCCTTCTAGGGAGTTTCTCAACTTTCCCCATTGATAAGTGTCAGTTTAGGAACAAACTGTTGTCTCAAAACTGTTGCTCGAGCATCTTAGGTTTAGGAGCTCGATCTCATCTGATATGTCTTAAGCTGCTTAAAAAGTTAAATGTCCTGTCTAAGACTAATCTTCATACCCCTTTCTATAATCAGTGGGAAGTTAGCAACCTACTGAGTGCAGTTCAACTCCATTTCACTTTGGAATGACTTTATAGCCAGGGGAACTTGTCTCTTGTTTTTATCTATAGAAAAATCTAGATGACAAGTTTTTTAAAAAGCAGTCTCTCTAAGAAGAGAGAGTCTAAGCAGACTCTAGTCTAAGCTAAAGTCACCTGAGCTGAAGCCTTCCTCATTAATTGAATCCCGATGATTAACCCTTAAAGTAACATTCAGATTCATAACAGTATGCTTATGCAATAAATACAGACAATTGTGTTAATATCTAGGCAGCCAGAGCAGTAGAATCATCAGAAAATAATTCATCAGCTTCACATGACAAAAATACAACAGTATGTTGTATGCAAAAAAAAAACCCCAAACCCGAAACAAAAACCAAGCTTCTTTCCAGATAATGACTAGCTGTCATCAGAGAAAAAAATGGACTTTATTCTCATTTCCAAGGGATGAAATCTGGGTCTGCTGGGGTTTTGTTTTCATTGTGCTTTTTAAAAAGACTTAGGAAACATTTGTTCTCATGACACAATCTCCTTCATTAAAACAGCATGCGCAGGACTCAATCTCAGAGTATGAAGCATGCGCAGATCACATCATCCTTCATGAGAGTGGCTAGGACAGTGGTTCCCACCCAGAGGTTCATGTACTGCTGCTTGTCTTCCAGATTCCTCCTACCGACATTAGCTACTCTGCCTCCCCTTGGAACAGTGCTCCCACTTCATTTGGCTTCCCTGCATTCAATTAAATGTGATTCCTGACTTACAGCGCA